GACTGTGTCAACACAAACACAATGTACATATTGTGTGACTGCGTGAAAAACAATGTATTTTTATACAACCATGAACATCATTGAAGAATATGTGGATGTTAACACAAACATATAAAATGATGGATCAACTTATTAGATCACCATTAACAATCAACAATACCAACAAGGCAAACATTCACAATCGGGGGAAAAAAATCTAAATATCCCTACTCATTGGCCCAACATTTTCAATCCATGTGAATGTTCACAGCATAGAACAACAGCACCAATAATATCTGATTATCCAAAAAATTTCAGTCAATGTGAATGTTCACATCTTTTAACAACAAGAACAACAACAGAATTGGCCAAATATTTTCAATCCATGTGAATGTTCACAGCATAAAACAACAACACCATTAATACCTGGTTACCCAAACATTTTCACTCAATGTGAATGTTCACATCTTTTATTAACAGCAACAAAAACAGAATTGGCCAAAACATTTTCAAACCATGTGAATGTTCACAGCATTGAACATCAATCGAATAACATTTGGAAAATTTTGATTATCCAACCATTTTCAATCAATGTGAATGTTCACAGCTTTCAACAACAACAACTATAACAGAAACATTTTGGAATGTTCACAGTTGTGAACACAATGTAATGGCAACTGCAATGTTTTTGACTGAAAAAATCAATATAATTAGGGATTACGATTGAAGGGTTCAGATTAAATGTTAGGGTATGAACAATATGGACTCCTATATATTGTATGTATAGAAACAGGGGATATTTATAAAAGTTCACAATGTTGGTTGTTGATAAAGAGGTTTAGGGTTTAAATACACGAATGAGTAGAATGCTTACGTTTTTTGCCAATTTCGACGAAGAAGATGATCAGACCACGAGACGATGCGACGAAGGAACGAAGACAATCTTCTGGGCGTAGGGACGACGAAAAAGATGATGAGACGATGCGACGATGGAACGAAGACAATCTTCTCGGCGTAGGGACGACAGAGAAGATGATGAGATGATGCGACGATGACAGTCTTCTGGGCATTGAGGCGATGTGGAATATGGATTTGGATTTCTGGACTGTAGAGATACTGTGCGTGATTTCCTGCGCAAGAATAGAGAGGGGTTATTAGATTCAAAGAGAGAGAGACGCATGTTTGTTTGAGGGTTTTTTTGGTCTTTTTGTATAAAATGGACCTAATGAAATATTATAAAACACTATGGGTCTTATGGAATAACACTCTTAGAAAATGGATTTACTGAAAAAACACCCAGTTATGAATCATAACTAAATTATCTCCAATCAGAATTAAAAAAAATAATATTAAAACAATCAAACAATAATATAATTAAAGATTTTTTGAATCAAAATTTAAATAATATTATAATTAATACCATAATGAGTTATAATTAACATTACGATAAGACATCAATAAATATTATAAATGTCGTAACTAAAATATATAGTATACCTCAAAAGATATACTCCCTCTGTCCCAAAATAAAATATTTAAATAAAAACTATATATTTAAAATAAAAAATAAAATTCTCTTAAATGTTTTTAAATATTTTAAAAAATAAATCTAAAAAATTTCAAAATACAACTCAAAATTCAAAAATTCAAAAACTCAAAACTCTTTTTAAAATTCAAAATTCAAAATTCAAAATTCTTTTTTCAAAACTCATAACTAAACAAATTTTCTCTTTTCAAAACTCAACTCACAACTGCACACTTAAATTATAATTGTACATTCAAACCATAATTTTAAAATTAAACCAAACGGAGCCCTAATATTGGTGTACACAGTAATAATATTAAAAAATATATAAATGTATAATAATATGCGAAATATAACATTCTTAGCGTTATTTATTTCTGAACTAACCTCTATTGAACCGTTGTTAATATTATCAGAATATTTTACTAAAGTTATGTTTGGCAATGGATTTTTGGTTAAAAAAGTACAAAAGACAAAATTGGCTATATAAGTTAATAAAATAAAATGTCACATCCAAATCATAATTATTATATTTTTTCTCTTACAAAAGTCAAAAAAGTCAGAAATAAAACCAAACGAGACTAAAATAACTAAAAAAACTGGACTATTTTAGCTCTTCCCAAACGAAGACTTAAATTTTTTTAAAATATTTTTATTGTAACAGTGTAAGTCTTACAATTTTTTAAATATAATGAGTCTTATATATAATTTTTATTATATGAATATACAAAATAAATAAATTTGATGATAAATATATATATTTTTTAATTTATATAAAGGAGAAATTCAACAAAGCTGACATTTAAAAAAAAATTTTTAAATAAACATAAAATTCATACAAAAAAATTGACAAGAATAATGTGATAATGTCATTATTGTACATAATTTCATCTTCAATGGTATTTTATTTTAAAATAAAAAGTTCATAATGAGCCACAACATTATGTATAAAAATTATGTATGATTTTTTTAATTTATTTTATTTATATAGCATTATTCTTAAAATCAAAAAAATAAATGAATATAGCATTAGTACTAGGAGTTTTCTTGTGAACCAATTAATCATTTTTATTTTGAAAAATTATATTTAATTGATTTGGTACCATTTGAGTTTAAATAAATGCCTTTTATGATTCATTTTTTTAATTTTCTAATTTGTTTTTAGGATGCGAATGGAAATGTGAGGTTGTGGAAGATTCTTTTTGAGCGTGAAAATCTACATTTCTGTTAGCCTCCGTTTGGGAAGTGGGTTGGCTTTTTGGCTTTTTGGCTTTTTTGGCTATTTTAGCCTGGGCTTAAAAGCTTGGTTTGGGAAGGGCTTTTTGGCTTTTTGGCTTTTTTAAGTTTTTTTGTGAGAGAAGAATGTAATGATTATGGGTTGGATGTGATGTTTTTTTTTTTTTTTTTGAATATTACGTTATTACGTTTGAAAAAAAATATATTAAGGGGTTTTTGTGTGTTATATTGATTGGAGTGTTATATTAGAAAAAATACACTAAATAGTTTTTTAGTGTATTATATTAAAGTATTACGTTTAGAAAAAATTCATTAAAGAGTTTTGTAGTGTTATATTGATTGGAGTGTTATGTTTAAGAAAAGTACACTAATGTGCTTTTGTGGAATATTATATTGTTACGTTTGAGAAAAGTAAACTAAAGAGTGTTTTAGTGTGTTACATTGGAATATTATATTTTTTAAATATTACATTGAAGTGTTACGTTTGAAAATATATATATTAAGAGATTTTTTTTTTAAATGTTACGTTTTGTAATATTAAAAATTATGAGAAAACTCGCACTTGTCCCTTAACACATAACAACCAACTTTTATACTTGATCCTTTATGTAATTTATCCTATAATGAGACCTTTGAATCTAAAAAAAAAAAAACAAACCAAATAATTTATAAGATCATTTTATTAGTACTTCACCCTTATTCTATTTAAAATTATCAAAATTCATAAAAATATGTCCTACATGTAAATGTCCATTATTATTGGAGAAATGCTAACAATCTCAAATATTTTATCAATATTTTTATTAAGTGTCTTAAATGAGTGTAAAAATCACATCATATGAGTTTCATGTAAAACCTCTATCCATATAAGACATTTATGTTGTGTTTCGTTAGATGATTTAGGAAGAGATTTAGAATGAAAAAAGAAAAATAAAGGTAAAATATGAATAAAATATATTTATATTTTACTTAATTTTACATATTATTTTTTTAGGCCAAGTTTGGCATACACAAAATAATCATCTTTTTATCTTTTTACTATCTTTTTTTCATCACATCACCTCTCTACTTTTCTACACATCTTTTCATAAAAAGACAAAAAATACATTTATTTAGATCATTCCAAACAACTCCTTAATCTCTTCCTAAGGCCTTGTTTGGTTTGTGTTTCTCAAAAAAATTTGGGAAAAATTCTTTACAAATAAGTTTTCAAAAGTAATCAAACCAAACAAATTTTCTCAAATTTTTTTTCCAAAACTTGTTTGGTTTACAAGTTTTCCAAACAAATTTCTCTCTCATATACATCAAATCAATCACTTTTTTCAAAACTCTCTCAAAATAATTTTTCAAAACATCTTTTAAAAAAAAAATAAACCAAATAAATTTTCGTACTTTTTATCTCAGAATATGTTTCTCAAATACAAACCAAACAAGTCCTTAAACCCTCACATTACTTTTAGGCCAAGTTTGGGAAGTTTGAGAAAAGCCAAAAAGTCAAAAATTTACTCAAAAAGTTAATAAGTTAATACTATTCACTAAAAGTCAACAATTACGGTTGCACAACTCCTAATTCTAATTTTCCTCTACAAACCAATTTTTATAATTTTTTATTACACATTTTTTCATAAAAAGTCAAAAAATTAAGCCAAATATTCATATTTTTTTCCTCAACTTTTTAATCTAAAAATACAAAAAGTACACTTATTTAGGACAAAAAGTACATTTGTCCATGTGTTTTGCTGACACAGTTCACGTGCGTGTTGGCTCAGACATCCTGCACGGTACGTGTGTGTAATGTTAGTGGCTGTTTGGCGTTGCCAGGCTGTATAGTGGGTGTTTGTTTGGCTTTGCCGGGCCAGACCAGGCCGTACGTGTGTAATAAGGGAAAAGTCAGGGATAATAATTTTTTTTTATCATATAAGATTTGTAACTTTTACATTATCTTAATTAATGTGTAATATTTTATTTTAGATGTAATTTAAGAATTATAAATCTTTTAAAAATATTTTTATAAATTTTTTTTTAGTAATGATACATTCCACTAAAAGTGGTGCTCTAAAGCACCACTAATGAGTTGTCAAGCACTTTAAATAAAATAAAAATAAAAAAACAAGACACAAGCAGTAAGTCCCGTCCATTGTCACATCACTAATGATGCTTTTAGAGCACCACTTTTAGTAGTCTCAAACATTATTGATTTTTTTTTACCATCCCTAATATTACTCATGTACCAATGACCATACGTGTTGTGAAATGTCCACCTTCCTTGTTCACTTACTCCAAACCTAAGAAACCAAAGGACCATTTCCCAATTTTTCTTGCACTATTTCCCTTTGCCTTTCAATGGCAACCTCCAAACCCAATCCACCGAACACTACTTGCACTACCATTTCTTCACCTTTCAATGGGCTTCCCATGTTGAGATGGTGGGAATCTTTGATATCTACCTATGGGAAGGCTTCTGGTACATTGACGCTCATCTAGAAGGTGTCATGGCTGTTAGGTCAAGCTTCACCGCGCTCAACAACGACATTATCGTTGCCGCTTCCCCCAAAACAGGCTCCACTTGGGTCAAAGCCCTAGTAGCCTCCGTCATGCTCCGCCACGACAATGATGGTGGTGGTGGTGGTGGTGGTGGTGGTGATGGTGAAGATGAGGATGCAGATGATCCCTTAAGATACAACCATCCCAATGACCTCGTGCCGTCGTTAGAGCTCCAAGTCTGCAACAAAAAAAATGCGAATTCTGATATGCCAAACACAGCCTCTAATACTACTACAAGGTTGTTTCGAACTAACATTGCGTACTCGCAGTTGCCGGAATCGATTAAGAGTTCAGGCTGTAAGATTGTGTACGTCACTAGAGATCCTAAGGACGTGTTTGTTTCGATGTGGCATTTCATTAACACTAAGAGATCGTCTGAGAAAGCCCCATTTCCATTCGACGAAGCGTTCGAGAGCTTCTGCAATGGTGTTTCTGCCTTTGGGCCCTTCCATGAACATGTGCTTGATTACTGGAATGAGAGCTTGAAGAGCCCTCAAAAGGTACTTCTAGTTGGTTCACCATTGGTATAAAACTCCAATTTTTTGTATTTTCGGTCAAATTATAATGGAGAATGACTCCCTCTAATCCAGATTTTAAATAGGGGGCCATTATTTGGGTCGTAGGACTCATCACAAGTCCTATTTCAATAATTTTAACTGTTCATTTTGCCTAATATTTCGTTTATTTCATTCACACACAAAATTAGGTCGTTCCGATAATTGTAACTTGTTCAATTTTTCACTAAAAAAATAAACTACAATTGTGTTTCAAAAATAAATCATATATTTTTTTAGTCACAAATGCAATTAATTGAACAAGTTACAGTTATCGAATCGACCTAATTTTTTGTGTTGATGAAATACACGAAGTGCTCAATAAAATGAATGGTTTCAATTATTAAAACGGGATCTGTGATGAACCTCACAAGCCCAAACAACGCTCTCCAATCCAAAATCTAGACTAGAGGGATCTGAATTTTCAATGCAGTGTTGATTTTGATTAAAATATATATATATAGATAGATAATAAATCTTATATGTATTATAATAATTAAAAGTATAAAATTTTCCGTCAATCTATAATTACTTTTTAACAACACTTATAATTATATGAGTTTGGCTATTTTAAGATAGATATATTTTACACCTTATGCTTTATATTAAGAGAGTGTAAATAAGTATACTTTTTATTTTTTACAAAAATATATATATAAAGAAATAGAGAAGTGATGTGACCTAAAAAAAAGATAAAAAGATAAAAAAAAAATACATTTTTGTAGGAGATGCCAAATAGTGCCTAAATTTCATTTTGGTTTTTTATTTTTAAATTATAGCAGCTAATTTCTTATATTTTCAACCAAGTTGTAATATGATCATTCTGTTTAACAAAAAAAATTATTTTATATTTTATTTAAGACAAAAAAAAGAAAAAAAAAATTCTTTAAAATCTTTTTTCTTTCTTTTTTCCATACATAGTTTTTCAACTCGCTGCCATCGATCACCCATTCCCTACTTTAACTTTATGCTTTTCTCAACGTCGCCACCATTTTGGATGCTGCTCACTCTTTTTCTACCACCTCCATCCCTCCCTTAGCTACTCACCACCACCATCACCAACCTACCGTCTCCTGCCAACCCACTCCTTCCCACTATATAATGCTAATCCAACCATGGAATGGAAGCAGTGGGCAGTGGTGATGAATTTAGAAAATATAGTAAAAAGAAAATATTGTGAAACAATAGAAAATAAGTAAAAAGGAGAAGAAATTTATATCTCTATCATTAAAAATATCTCATATGAGAGTCACATAACAAATTTCGTTGGATAATTTAATGCTAAACTAAAATAACATTACAACTTGAAAAAGTGCTTGGAACTTTTTTTTATCACAGTGAAATTTTATATAAAATGCACGAGTGAAAGGTAAAATTTCTCTTAATTTTCTTTAAGAAATTTAATATCAAACTAACGGAAGCAACACGTTACAATTTGATCAAAAATATAAAAGATTGACTATTACAATTGAAGAACAATAGACTAAAGTAAGCAAAACACAAATGTGCAAAGTACAATTTATCCTTTTTATTATTTATATCATTGACCCATATATGTTCTTGAAATATGAAGACTTGGAGAAGAATTTTATTAGTATTTATATCGTCAACAGGTACTATTTTTGAAATATGAAGACTTGAAGAGAAACCCAAGAGGAGAAGTGAAGAAGTTGGCTTCCTTCCTCGGCCGGCCCTTGGCCGATGACGGCGAGGCCAAGAAGATTGTGCGACGGTGTAGCATAGAGAGGCTGAAGAACTTGGAAGTGAACAGAGATGGTGTGGATCCATGGTCTGATTTTCCCAAGAGCTCTTACTTTAGGCTTGGTATTGTAGGAGATTGGAAGAATGAGCTATCAACAGAGATGAAAGATAAACTTGATGAAATCACACGTGTGAAGTTGGAAGGGTTTGGTCTTTCTATTTAACTCTCATTTTGTGTTCTTCATCGTTTCTCAATCATCCTTGTGCTTGAATAATTGGTTGCTTAGCACCATCCCAAGTAGATAATGTGAATTTCTCAGTTCACAATTTAATGAACTTCATTTTAGTACATGGTCAAGGGTTCAAATCTTTTTACTCTCCAATAATTGGTTTTTTAAAACCAACCAAAATGGATGATGTGAATTTCTCAATTCACATTTTAATGAAATGAACTGTAGGGTTCGAATCTTTTTATTGTGGTATGTGCTTTATTCTACTGTATTTGCTTGAGATTTTTCTCTCGTTTTAAGAATTTCTCTGTAATAAGAATTTGTAATATTTAATCTTTATTATGATTGTGATTCATTAACAATGCTCAATGTTCTAATCTTTTTACTAAGGGCATGTTTTACTTTACTTGTGTTTGTTTGTGATTTTTCTCTTTGAGAATTTCTCTGTAATTATAGTATGTTATATTTGATCTTTATTACGATTGTGTGATTCATTAGAGCAAGTGATCAAGGTTTATTTTATTTTTACTGGGAATATTGTTACACAATCAGATAGGAATCCTCTATGGCGATTAGGGATGTAAATTTGCCCAGGCTTGGTCCGCCTCGTAGGCTCCCATCAAAATTTTGGCCAGGTCAGGCAGGCCCACGGGTTAGAAAATTAGGCCCAAGGGTTATTCGGGCCTTGGGCGGGCTGGTGGACTGGGCCTCAAGCTGGGTCGGTGGGCCTAGACGTACGCTCGGGCATGAACATTTTTTTTTTTTGTATTTTTTTTACCAAAATTTTATTTTTTTTACCAAAAATGACATTGAGTCTTGGGCGAGCCAGGGCACGGGCTTTGTTTTGAGTGGACCTTGAGTGAGCCAGGCTTCAAAATGATAGCTTAAACCCAGGGTCTCAAACTAGGCTCTAGCCCAAGCCTAATCGGGCTAGGCCCATCCCAGGTCGTGGGCCATTTTTTACACTCCTAGTGGCCATGTAGTGGCCATGATTAATTGAGCATGGAAATTGACAACAAAAGACAAAATGGACTACAATCTATCTAGGGGGTTCACTTGCTGCAAAACCTACGAAAGTAAAAACCATTTCCCATTTTCTTGCACAATTTTCACTTTCAATGGCAACCTCCAAACCCAATCCACCAAACACTACTTGTACTACTGCTATTTCATCTCCTTTCACTGGCCTTCCCAAGTTGAATTGGTGGGGACTTGTTAATCTCTACCAATGGGAAGGCTTCTGGTACAATGATATTGTTCTGGAAGCAACCAGGGCTGCCAAGTCAAACTTCACCGCCCTTGGTGACGACATTTTCATAGCCGCCTCCCCCAAGACTGGCTCCACTTGGCTCAAGGCCCTCCTCGCCTCCGTCAGCCACTGTGGTGGTGATAGTGGTGGCGGCGGCGACGATGGCAATGATGAAGATGAGGATGCAGATGATCCCTTAATATACCACCACCCCCAACGACCTCTTGCCGTTTTTAGAACTAAAGGTTAGAGTAATGTTGTACAAACAGATTAAGAATTGGATATGGGCTTTTACGCTACAAAAGGTGCTATTGAGTTTGTGAGACATACCATGGGCACATTGTTGACAATTTAAACTATTCATTTTATTTGATTATGAATTTAAATTATTTATAAAAAAATGAAATTGGTCTAATAATTATAGATCATGATTTTAGCGGTTTTGTTTGTAAGGAAATGAATGGTCTATTTTTAAAATTATATTTGTTATTATTTTTGAACAAATTATATTAGTAGTCCCTATATTTTGATTATTGTGTCATTTTGATCTTTGTAATTTGATTAACTCGATTTTGACCATAAATTTATTATTTTGTCTTAATTTGATCTAATTGGCTACATATGTTAATATTTTTTTTGAAAAATGTTTAAATGAGTGGTATGTGTCATGTTTTTAGAGACAAAATTGTAAACACGGTCAATTTAGTGAATTAACTTCAACTAACTCAGTGATTATTAATTTTTTGTCAAAAATCCTAACAAAGTTATCAATTGAATCAATTCACAAAAAAATGTAAAATTAAACGTCAAAATTGAGTCAATTAAAAGTATATGAATCAAAATGATACAAGAGTCAAAAATGTAGAAACTACCAATGTACGCTTCTCTTCTTTTTTGTAGATAAAAATCATCAAAACTTGCGGTTATGGCTATCAAATTAATTTATTTTTTCATAAATAATTTGCATGTATAATTATACAAAATAAACGATTTAAATCGTTGAAACAAGACTGAGACAAAGCTCACCTATCCCAATAGATTACTTTGTATAAATTAAGATTTCATTAACCAACTAGGCCTAGCTTAGTTGGCCACTATGCTTTCTTTAGGGTAAAAGTGGAGAGATTTTCTCCCATAGGTATTAATTTAACAACTAACATTTGCTGATAAAAAAAATAAATTATTAAGATTTCATTATTTCAAAAGGGAAGATCCAGCCAGCACTAGGATTTATAATTTAAAAAATGTCAGATATCACATTATTTTACTGAAAATGTCATTTTCTTCTTCTTTTTTTTTTATCTGTAAAAAAATTTTAATGATGAAAATTATTAAACAAAAACATAATACATCAAAGACGGAGAGCAAAATACATCAAAATAAGATAGATCGATCCCAATAAAATTGACATCGGAAAACAAGTTCAACCATATACAAAGCAAACATGAAAAATTAATGAGAAACCTACCCAAAAACTGACCCACTAATTAGCACAGTTGTATATGCAAATCCACTGAGCACTTCTTCACGATGTTTCCACTATAATTCTTATTTTTTTATTTTTTATGAACAAATGCTTCCACTATAATTGAGCAAAAGCAAAACATGCTAACCCACCGAAGCGTAAAAAAAATAAAAATAAAAAAACCATTGTCCAGACCTCTTGTGCATAGAACTCAAAACAGAGGCTCCATCCACTAAACTTCCTTCAATAAAACATTTCCCCAAGCCCCTCTTCATCCCAAACAGAGAGAAGACCACAGGATAGACCTTCCTATTCGACCCATGAAAATGTCATTTTGGTGTCTTTTGACAAAGAGATTAAAAGTAATTTTTAGCTTTTAACCTTTTTTAAGTCATATTGTTTTAAGAAATTGGTAAAAAGTTGACTTTTTGGCTTTTTTAAACTTATTTTATCTTTTTGTGAGTGTTAGAATAGTAGAGAGAGAGGAAATAATATGTATTGTATTGAATGATATGTATTGAATAAATAGTAGAGTTGAATGTATTCCACACAATGGAAAGCCTATATATATAAGCTGAGAAAGAGTATCCTACTATAAACCTAATTATGAAAAAGAGTATCTTACTAGAAACTTAACTATGACTATTCCTAAATATATCTAGGAAATCAATACCTAATATATTTAGGAATACCACATATACATTAACATCCCCCCTAAAACTCAAAGAGGATAAACATTTTGAGTTTGGAGAGAGAAACTAAAACATGAAATAAAACTAAATAAAATAAAAGGTAAACAAATTGCAAAATCCGAACGGGAGCGCAAGGGCACTTGAAATAGATCAGATGTTTGAACTAAAGCCGGGAAACAGTTTATGGTCATGTCGGACCATTGTAAGAACTGACTGAAACTAATGCCAGGACAGTTTAAAGGGGTCATGCCGGACCGATGTAGGAGCTAACCGGAATCAATGTCGGGACAGTTTGAAGGGGTCATGTCAGACCGATGTAGGAGCTAACCGGAATCAATGTCGGAATAGTTTCAAGGGGTCATGCCGGACCGATGTAGAGACAGTTTAAAAGGGTCGTGCCGGACCGATGTAGAGAACTGGATGTTGACCCAGCAAGCGTGGCACACACATAACTAATGACGTGGTGCTGAACGATGATCACAACAGATAATTGAGTGGGCTAGGGGATGGCTTGGATAATGCGCCAGGGGGCGACTTTGGTGGTTCGCCAAGAAGACAGTTTAAGGAGTGCGGCAAAAGGAGACAGCTTAGGTAATGCGCCAATGGGGCGGCTTAAAGAGTGCGCCAAAAGAGGTGGCTTAGGGAGTGCGCCAAGGAAGCGGCTTAGATAGTGCGCCAATGAGACGGCTTAGTGGTGGTTTGGGGTTTAGGTGGTTCACATGGTATAATGGTGTATAACCATGTTCACCATGATATAGGTTTAATACCCCCTTCAAACTCAAATAGGTTTGAAGATAGAAACTAATTGGAGGTTGAAGCAGAGGGAAAGATAGAATGGAGAGAAAAAAAAATGCATTGTGAGTAAAAAAAAAATAAAAATGATAGAGATGTTTGGTGTAGGAATAAACCAGAGATCACCACGAAGCGATACTGAAAGGAAAATATGACAGCGGAATAGGTTGAGGTCCAACGGGCGGCCAAGGTGAGGCTGCCGCCCGCCGGTGAAGCAAGAATACTAGGTTCTTAACCTAGCTCTGATACCATGTTAGAATAGTAGAGAGAGAGGAAATAATATGTATTGTATTGAATAATATGTATTGAATAAATAGTAGAGTTGAATGTTCTCTATACAATAGAAAGCCTATATATATAGGCTGAGAAAGAATATCCTACTAGAAATCTAATTATGAGAAAGAGTATCCTACTAGAAACCTAACTATGACTATTTCTAAATATATCTAGGAAATCAATGCTTAATATATTTAGGACTACCACATATACATTAACAGTGAGTAAGTTATGTGAGAGGTGATGTGACCCAAAATAAATAAAAAGCTGAAAGTTGGATTTTTACTAGCTTCCCAAAAGAGCCACTCTTTATTTTTTACACGTTTTTTTAAAAAAAAATGTAAAAAAAAAAACCCTAAAAATCTAACTTTTAACATACTTTTCAAAACAGCCCTTTCTTTTTACAGGTTTGTAGAAAAAATGAAAACTTTGATGTGTCAAACATGGCCTCTCCACTACTGTTCTGAACCCACATATCATACTCTCTGTTACCACAATCGATCAAGACTTCAAGCTGCAA